TCAAGTCCAGTTTCCAAACTCTTGGAATGTCATTGAAATGTGACATTAGGCAAAAAGGAGTTTTCCACTCTCTAAATAATCTCAATGGCCTTGTGTAGACAAAACAAGGGGCATGTGTGCATGGCACTTTAAAGTAGGCTAAATGCTTTTGCACCAGTTTAATGATGTTGTTTTTGCACGTCTTGGTGGTGCATTGTGCATTAATTCCAGCTGCTGTAGGAAATTTGGTGGCGTAATGCACCTTAAATGACTTGGGGCGCAGCAAACTTAGTTTGCCGCCCCTACAGCCACGGCGTGAAGCACCGGGCTGCATGCAGCTCTGTGGCTCTGCAGGAAGCCCTGCAGGCAGCCTGGTAGCAGCCTGGGAAAGCAGGCTCCACCCAAGAAAAGTGGTGAGCCTGATTTTTTTCCTCCCCACCTCGAAGCCTGACTGCCTGCATGAGCTGTGTGGGGGCCTGGTGCTTGCCTCCATGGCTGTGGTGCCCCCAAGGACCGCCCAAGCTGGGTGCCTCCTGGGGGGGACCGCTGCCACCGAGGGAAGCACCAACATTTCCCTCCCCACCCCCGCAGCTCAGGGACTGCTCTGCCCGCTGGCAGCTTGCCCTCCCCGCCCCTGCCACCAGAGGGGCAGGTAAGTGCGAGGTGTGTGCATGACACGGGGGTTTAAAAACCGACTACTTCAATTTACTGCCCCCGTTTCATCTACACGCGCCTAATCTCGTTAAAATGCCACCTCCTTATAAAAAGGATGAAATGAACAACTGTCTGAGGTAGACAAGTACAGTGCGAGTTGTTCTCTTCATAGTTTATTTAGGCCACTCATACAATTAGTTGCAGTTGCTGAGAAAGCCCTCATGGCAGACTGTCACCTCTGGGCAACTGGAGGTTAGAGCAGAGGAGCTGCATCAGTGTAGCTCAGGCACGAGCAGACACAGCTGCCATATGGAAAAGCTCCACGCAGATATCTCTTTTGCAGATCTAGATGAAATAAAGACACCAGCTCTGTGCCTTTGTGCTGTGACCCTGCCTTTTCCACACTAAGTCCTGGCTTTTCTGATGCATTTAGGCAGAGAAAAGCAATAAGTTGAGTAACACTCGTTAATATTACTTCCTTTTCTTTTTTTTAAATAAGAAAAAAAATAGCTGTCTTCCTAGCTCAGCATGCTTATGGTATCCTATAGACCCAGCCATTCAGATCCTGGAAGAATTATTCCAATGAGCTTCCTTGGTAACAGCATATTAGGTGGAAAAGGCTGCTTTAAACATGACAACTGATAAATACATACATGAAATAAAATGTTTTCTTGCTCTGGAAAAAAAGAAGATGCCTACCAGCAAGCAGAGGCAACTCAGTGTAGAAGCAAGGATTAATTAGCTGTCTGGGGTTCTCAGTGGCCTGATCTGTGATGAAACTGGAAGCTATAAAAGTGAGCTAGAGGTAATCATAGCAACAAATAATATTTAAAAAACCCAACTGCTCAAGATGCAAATTCTGACAGTGTTAATAAATTACAGGCTCCTCTAGGCTGATGAATATCATGACAAAATCACTGCATAGTTGCAGTTTCTAAGCTTATAGGTTAGAACAATTATTTTCTTTTAAAATTTCCCTGATACCAAGCTAAGGCAAATGTGGTCTTATTCAATGTTTAAACAGAAAAGCCTGCTTCAAGTTCACTTACAAGGCTAATTGGTAACTGGCCCTGTGGGGATATGTCTGGAGTGGAAGCAGTCTGGAATTTCTCCCCCTCCCTCTTATCCGTGATCAGGAGCCAGTCATTATTTGGTTCAAAGGGAGCGGCACTGCTCCATGCCTGTGGGTGCTTGCAGACGTGGAAAAACCCCCCAAAAGCCCACAGCGCTTTACTTTCCACACCCCCGCACCAAGTGCAGCACATGCCCAGAAGAGGAATCACGTCAGTTTGACCTGGCTCACCCAGCATCTGTACAGCTTGCACACTTCAGTGGGGCTTTTTGGCACTTTATCTAATAGCTGATTGAATCAGGTATTAGATAAAAGTGCCAAAAAGCCCTGCTGAAGCACGCAAGCTATACATATGCCAGGGAGCTGGGTCAAACTGATGTGATTCCTCTTCCAGTAAAGTGCTGTTTTGGGGGTTTTTCCACATTTGTAAGCACCCTGTGTCACCTGTAGTGCTGGCCTCCACAAGAGCGGAGAAAGGGAGTTAGCCATGTTATTTCAAGTCAGGCAGAGGGTTTGCACCTTTACAGATTAACCATCAGAGCATAGCATAAGGTTTCGTAAACAGCATCAGATGATCAGATCCATCCAATGAAGTACACCTGCTGCTTATGAAACCATATGCAGGTCTGATTTAGTTGGTCTCTACAGTGCAAATCTACCCTGTCTTCTCCACAAGAGTGGCCAAGCAAGGTAGAATAATGGCAAAGCCACTGGCCTTTTACCCAAACTGTTCACCCAACAGAAACAGCCAAGTAGATGGGAGAATAAGCTCAGTATCTATTGAAAGGCTGGCTGAGCTGCAGCGCGCACTCCACAGGAGTCCTTAGAAGGATTCTGATGGAATTAGCTGAGAAGCACCCCCAGTGTGTCCCCTCCCCATGCCAGGCTGTGCCTAGAGGGCTGAAGCAGCTCTTAATATGCAAATGAAAGACCAGAAACTGATATCCCCCGACAGAACTGCCTCCCCCACTAGGAAGACAAAATTTATTGGCACAGTAACAGGCCAGGTGAAGTCAACTACCGCTTCAAAGCAATGCCTAGTAGATATCACAGTCCTCATAGTATCAGATCTGCCGCCTCTTCTAGGGGTTTCCCTGGAGCACTCCAAAAGA